CACCTGTGCCCCCCTCAGTTGCGGGCACGGCACGGGACGGCCGCTGGGACGTCGGGGATGGGGAGACTGGGGAGACTGGGGAGAGGGGTGTCGGAGACATCAGGGAGGTCGGGGATGCAGACATCGGGGATGGGGACATCAGCTCCAGCTGAGCTTGCCCTGCCAGATGGAGCGGGCACGTCACTCCCGTTTGCGTCAAACGCAAGATCTTCCTTTCAGAGGCCTTCTAAAAACACCCGAGGGATGTATTTTACCCGCCCCTAAACTCCTTTTCTCTTGCCTTTACGTTCCTCCCCAAAAAGGGGAGAAGTGCCAATCAGCAACAGCAGCAATCAGACCGTCGGAAATGTCCTGGTAACACAGGCGGCTTCCAACAAGCGTGCCGCTGGGGCAGGGGGAGTTAGCTAACAGCGCCCAGGCACGCCTGCCGCAGCGCGCGACAATCGGCAACGCGCGGACATCAACTTGTTACGCCAGACGGCCTTCACTGAGGACGAGTGCCTGGAGAACAAGGCACCATGGTCGCGTTTTGTGGGGGTTTTTTTCCTCACTCTTCCCCTTCCAGGTGAGGCTGATCAAGCCCCAGGCACCTGCAGCTTCCCTGAGACCTGCAATCCCATCTTCAAACGCTTAACCGCGTTCTAATTCCAGTAAACAACTACGAGCATATGGATTTGGAAAGTGATTACTTTTGGTATTTCATCTTGTCCCATTACTACCAAAGAACTTTTCTGACGTTTTCTGCAGTGATCCCAGCTGCATGTCACACACTTCAGTTCGTGTGTTAGTTATGGCATTAGCGTTCAAGAAAAATACAAGTTATTCTGTATATAACGAGTCACCGTAAGGGTTTGGAGATGCACCTTTAGATGGCGCTGCAAAACCACACTTAAAATAACCGTGCGCAGCCGAGTTCTAATTCTTGGTTTGTTACAACTTCAATAAAAACACCCCCAAATATTTTGTACGTTCACCTTGAGCTGGGGGTGTGTGTGAGAGGAAGATCTGCTCTCTCTAATTTTTATGCCTCAGAAAAAACGTTGTAATATTAGGACTGCGGGCCAGCACTGAAACCAAAATAAACAAATTACTCACATAACTAAATGTTTAGAAAATGTTGAAGGGCCGGGTGGCAGGATGTCTTCAGGAGAGTCCGTCCCAGTGCTAACGCTGTTACGTGTTTGATCCTGCACCCGATCGCTGTGCTGCTTTCAACTACCGTGTTGCTATTGTGGTTACCCCGTATTCTGAATTCTTCCTTCTCTCAGATTTGGCACTTCCTCAGCACGTTCGCTGCTGAGCAAGATTCTTTTGCAACGCGCCTGCAGGTTACACATCCTAACTCGATTTTTCCAAGAACTTCCTCATGTTGCAGCTCTAAGTTTCGGAGGGTTGAGCATGGTTACACGGTGCTATAACCGGTTCCCGAAACAAGACTCCGTACAGAGATAAACCCTCCCAATGGAATACATTGCCTGGCAATGCTTACGCGGCTTCCTTTGCGCGTTGAAGCCTTTGCTCCAGCCACGTGCTGACGCCTAATGGTGGCAAACGCCGCACCAACAGGACACGGGCGCCCGCCGGGAGAAGCAGGCGGCGAGAGCCTGGAGAAACGCCCGGAGGAGGAGCAGGGGGAGAGTGCACAGTGCCCACAGGGTCCTACAAATGCTGCCTCCGAGCGCATGGCTGCGCTGGGGTGGGAATCAGAGGGGGGCGTAACTCACCTGAGGTTCAAGAACCTTTAACTTCAATTTTTCAGTTTAAAACTCCTGAGGTTAATATATATTTTTTTAAATCCTTTTTTTGAGTTCTAGAGGAATTCCAAGGATCAGAGACAAAGCATTAAAAACAGGAAAAGGTTGCCTTTACAAAGAAAGGCCAAAGGCAAGTCAAACCTGGACTAACAGTTGGACTATTTAGTACCTAGACTGACCCAGAAAGATAGTAAAAAGAGTTCCCTCCTGCAGCTCAAATTCTTAACTATCATTTGTTCAGAAAGAATACCGGGGACACAAGTCATCTTCTGAAGTGGCGCAGGCGGATGTCGCGGAGCGATGAACGACCTGCTCCTTCCGAGCTAGCGCAGCTCTGCTCACATCTCCGTACTTCAGTTCATTGAAGATGTGCTGTTTCTCAGGATAACGTTGAAGTTGGGCTTTGAGGCAGCAGGTTCTCTACAGTTCAAGTAGAACAACTGAGTGATTTGATCTTGGTGCTTAGCCTTGCTAACACGTAAGCACAAGGAAAAAAAGACTTGAGCAAAAAATTCTAAAAACAGAGCTTTATTTACGACAGTAAAAGCAAACCAAACCCACCACCGTTATGAAGGCCAGGCTGTTCCAGTGGCCTTTTATCAGAAGTCATCTGCCTCAGAAAATCAAAACAAAGTCCATCAATTCACCCATCATTCTTCCAAACGGAAGGAGTTCGGAGCTGCCACATCTTGCCAGAGAAGCAGGAAGAAGAACCAGAGAAAGTTATTGCTGCCTCCTTTCTACTTGCCTTCCCTGCACATTTTTTCCCAAATGTGGAAAAAGACGACACCTAATCCAGTTAGGGTAGTATTTTGCTAGCAGTTTGGTACAGCTGGAACGAAGGACAACACAGTCCATTTACAGCTCTGGACCCGAGTTAGTCCAAGGACAACAGAATTCCTAATGGGTACAAGGGGAGGGCCAAAGCAAACATCCAGCCATTGATGAATATAGGCTTGCTGGAGAGGAGAAAGACTGCAACAGCAGAGGAGGAACGCTTTAGTCCTGCAGAGGTGGTTGTTACAGGAAGATAAGAGAAGCAAATAAGCAAAGACTTTCAAAAAGGAAAACCGGAACGCGTGAGCAGTTGGTACAGAAAATAGACAAGATGAAACACTGGCTTTGCTCAGCTGCTTTGGAAAGTGAAAGGTTTATACAACAGGCAGCGGAGGTCAATTCATTTGCTATCAGTTTTGAAAATTATTTTTCCTTTCTCCCAACAGGCACAGTATTTTTAAAGTTACATATCTCTTACTTCAGTCATAGGCAGACTTAAATAATTCAGCTACGGAAGAACACAGCTGGGGTCGTGACACTAGTGAGCAGCCCAAGGATCAGCCCAACAAAAGGCAAGGAGGATGAAGGGAAGATGGAGTTCCCAGCTACTGCGCTCCCAGAGCTGCGTGCACCACCTTGGGCGAGGAAATCCGGCACGCATTGCATGTTCATCAGGAACGACTGCTTTGTTAACAAAACTGGTAGGGATGTGCCTTGCCACACATCTCACACGAGCACTGCAGGCAGGGATCCCCAAAGCACTATGAAAGGCAAAGCAAGGGTTTCCTAGGTTACCTTCTACATGAATAAATAAGCAAACAAGGCAACCCTCCCATCAAATCCTTCCTTGACCTCCACCACCACCCCAACAGCACTGTTTAGGAGTTTCACTTGACCTCAACCTCTGCTTTTATTTGCACATCATCTTCCCAAAGTGCTGTAATACCAGGGTACCATAATAACTGAAATTAACTGGACCTCTTGCTGTCAGATTTTCTTTACACCGATTTAATAGTCTAAGGGAGTGCGTTTGCAAGTGTGTGGAAAGGTACTGGAAGATACTATACGTGTGTAAATCAAGGTGGCTTATGGACTTTGGCCCTCCTTTCTTGCAGGGTTCATCCCCAGCTTTACCCAGAAGGATGATAAAGAAGACCGAGCTAGCATTTAAATAAAGTCTTGCTCCTCTGCAACTCTTCACTGCAACAATTACAGAGTATCAGGGTCCAGATCTGCTGTTAATTTCATTACAAAGCAGTAAAGATTTCATTTCTACCCAGGGACACCACGGTTATTAACAGGTCTCCAAGTCAAGGGGAAACAGACCAGGTATCAGCTGAGTGGCCACACCGGAATGTAAGTCACACATTCATACTTCTGAATCTCATAATCAGCATCCTAAATACTATAGCTTCCAAAGCTCGGCTGGTTTATTAAACTTTTGAGTATCGACAAGTCTCCAGATTTGCCTCACAAGCCTAGTACCGAATATCAGTAAGGGAGGTAACACAAAAGTGGCCCTTAAAAATAGGCTGCAAGACATGGACAACAAGGCTAGAGATAAAGGCGTAAGCATTCAACAACATCAAAATCCATTTAGAATCAAATACTCATTTTATAAAGAGATGTCTGAGACCAGCCAGAACAATGACAAGAAGCTGGTGGAAAGAAAAGTTATTTGGAAGGTCTGTCTGGAACACCTCAAAGACTCCACCACAGGGCAGACTGAGAAAGGCGTTGAACAAGTCTGTCAATCGTCATGTTTTTTGTTCTGTAAAACTTGCAGAACAACAAGCTCAAGTCCCTGCTTTGGACACAAGATAGTAGAGGATGAAGAAAACAACAATCAGTCCCGCTGAAACATAACAGAGCAACTTGCGATTATCCCTCCCGGACCGCGTCATGGTGGAGAAACGCTTCACACTGCCGGTTAGCAGGCCAGTCACGCTCATAAAATCTGAATCCTGAATGAGAAAGAAAATTAAGATGGAGGCATTATAAACAGATGAAGATATCCCTGAAGAATCTCCCACTTCCTGGCTAGAAAACATTTGCACAGGGAGCTGCGCAGTCGCGGCCCGTCTCTCCGCACCCATCGCATCTCCCTCAGAAGGTCCTTCCCCTCCCGTGCTCAGGCTCCAGGAGCAGCACCATTCCCACCGCGCACAAAATGGGGAAACGAAAAAGACAGGGGAAGGTCTGTTCCAAGTGTAAAACAAACTGCCTCCCCTTTTTTAAAACGGGGTCAAACGACCTGCTGCTAGACTGTTCAATTAAGCTTCAGTGCAGCTTGTTCTGCCTGGAACAGCTTGTCAACAGCAACTCTACAAGTGAACGCTTCATCCAAAGGAAATGTCCCTACATGAAGCTAGTGCTACTAAGGTACACCGGGGCAGGCTCACAAGCACAGAAAAAGGTGCAATTTCTTGCCATTCGTTCCATTTTTTTCTTCAGCATGGGACTGCATGCACGTGCAACTCCGCCAGAGGGTGGCAAACGATTCTCAGATTAATGCAGTTCAGGCATTTTTGTTTTGACTTCTGGTCTGTTATCCTTATCCACAAACTACTCTGAGCTTCTGCTCATGTTGCTCCTGAAATGCTTCAAAACCTTCTCTGTAGCAGAAGCACAATTTCATGCTGATTGAGGGCTTCTCCTTTAAGGTCTTCTGCCATTACACCTTTTATTCTGATTCTCCATTCTCCTAATTTTCGGGCTGAGCAAATATCCATTTCAGACACTCCAATACTGTCAGCATACACCGTTATTAAGCTTCCAAGCTGAGCTTACACCTTTGACTCAACTGGTTTCAACACTGCAATTATCTTTTCTCTCGCTTCCACGCACCAGCTCTCCAACATCCAGCACATGCAGAAAAGGCTCTCCAAGCACCGGTGTTATGGTGCTAATCTCCTTCTCAAATCTCTGGGCTGGATTCCCTTCCTCTCACAATTCAGTTAACGAATTACCTTTCTCCTAAAAAGCCCCAGCAGGTAACCTCTCTGCCTCAGGAATGTGCTATTCTGGCCCTTCCCCAGTACACTGTGATTTTCCATCAGCAACCAAAGCTTAAGAGGCAGATTACTGTGGAAAGCGATTTTTGGTTTTATCGGGTGTTGTGTGTCAGAAAGATGACGGAACAGAGCACCGAACAACCTGAGGGGACCCAGCGCATCAGCTTTGCTCCTTCCAAAGACGTCAGTGAACTACAAAGTCCTGACAGGTAGTCTGTGTTTCAGGTGTTACAGTAAGTAACCCTGACAGATTTGTACAGCAATAGCAAAAATCACAGGAGCAGCTGAGGAACAGGCCCATCTCCCAGCATTAGCCACAGGAGGCAGCTCTTTAATCCCAGTAAGGAGATAATCTCCACTGTATTTCTGAAGTGTGCTGTCCTACGTCAGTCTTTCCAGATGCTAGATACCAACTGTGTTGCCCATTTGGACAAAGTGATACTAGCAGTTGCTAAGTATCTGATGTTGATATATCAAGAAGTCCACTGAAAACGGGTTTAGTTACATTCCCTGGTTTGCCAAACCGACCACTGGGATCTAACTTTGTCTGCTAACTCTGAACTGCTATTAAACTTTCACAGTTAAGGTAACTGCTGAGAGCCAGCACAAAAAAGTCATGCTTTTGACATTTCATTGGTTCCTTACCATGCCATCCAGGTAACGGTTTTGTTCGTCAGCATCTTTGTCAATATCCAGGGCCAGCTACACAGGACAAGGGAGGAAACAGTTATTAATGAACTTTTAATGTAGAGAGAACCTCTAACACATCTAGTGCTGGTAAGATTTGAAATGCACATTAGAAAAGCAAGCCACTGCTTCCCCGTCTCCTACACAGACAGACAGAGGCTTGTTCGGTAGAGGAACTGAACAAGATTCTCATTTTGGTTTCAGGTTGTTGAACTTTTTCAGCTCTGAAGCACTGACAGTAAAGCTTGACTGTGTGAAACTGTCATATATAGGATAGAAGCATTTAAACGCTGGGACACGCAAGCAGGAATTCAGAGTCTTCCCTTCTACAAGGCGAGCCACTGACTTCTATTAAGCTCTAAGTCAAAGTATTTGATGTTAGTAGGAGCAGACTAGCTTTAAGAACACCACTTACATAGAGACACGTGTATTTTTCAAAACTAATTTACCTGCCTTTTCATTGTGATTTTTTCCCGAGGAGGTGCGCTTAGCAATACCCCTCTGTGCAGCTTTTACGTTTCTCTCTGTGCCTAAAACTCCTTCCCCGAGTGCCGTGAAAACCACATCATTCCCATTAGATGATATTGCTAAACCTCAAAAGGAAAGTGGAAATTCATAAAGCCGTCCCTGGCATTTCACAAGTCAAAATTAACCCTTATATCACCAACAGCTAAGAGTCGTTAATACATAGGAAGCCCTCTGTGTTGACCACAGGCTTGCATCTCCCGCCAGGCCCTGCACGAACAACCTAGATAACTGGTGCACCGTCCTTCCTTCACCGCAGCACCTGACGCGAAGTCAGCAACTCACCGACTTCAGCCTGGTGACCTTGCTGGCTAGGCTGTCTGCCATACGCTTGTTCTCTACATCCAGCACATCCTCCACGGCACTTGGACTCTGACCTGGAGGGAAAGAAGAGGAGAATGAGTTTTATCTGGCCTGGTACAAGTACTGGTGTATTTGCTCACCCAACGTGGCGGGCGAGGCAGAGCCAGCTTGTTGCCCGACCGGTCTCTGGCTTGCCACGAAGGCCGTTACAGCTGCCTCCTCGCACCTCTGGCCTCGTGGGGTTTGCGCCATGAAACGCTCCCAAACTCTTTTTGACAAGAACACACCAAACCTTCCCCAAACGGGCTGGCTTAGAAACCCTTACAGGCGCCCCGAGCCACCACCGCCGCCCAGCAGCAGCTCGAAGCAGCACGGGGGCTTCGTGCCCCAGCGCCGCCTCCAGCGCCGCCCCAGTTCGGGATCTGGGTGAAACCCAGCGAATCCGGGGCGCTTCGCCCCCTCAGGCATTTCGGGGCTCTCCTGGCTTTGCCTCCCCCGCAGGCGCTGGGCAGACGGGCCGCCCCCCTCCCCGGGCCCGCGGGCCC